CAAATAACTCACGAGATTACCATAAAGACAATTAACTCATTATAAAAAATTTCATTAATATGCAACTATGCCTATCCCTAATTCTTGTAAATACCAATTTCATTTTCTCTATCCTTATTCTCTTTGTCACACTGACACTGTAGACAACCTCTTTCTCAAAAGTATATGACATTTTCCTACTGCCCAGGACTGATCCTTCATTTTAACATTTCTGGTGACCATTCTACCCCTCCCAATCTCTCCAGCCTCAGTCCTTAACCCTTTACCTGAATTCTTTCCAGGCTTTTCTTTTTTCATAGGAAAGGGAAACTAGTTTATTTTTATTTATTTACTTACTTACTTTTTTTTATTAATCCTCACCTGAGGATACTTTCTTTTCCATTGATTTTTAGAGAGACTGGAAGGGAGGGGGAGAGACAGAGAGAAACATTGATGTGACTGGTTACCATCCATCCCCACGCGCCCCAACCGGTTGGGGCCCAGGATTGAGCCCATAACCAAGGTCCGTGCCCTTGACCGGGATAGATCCTTCGACTCTTCAGTACATGGGTCGATGTTCTAACCACTGAGAAAAACTGGCCAGGGCCAAACCTGTCTTTTTAAAATAGCATCCTTATTACATCTCATCCCAGTTCAGTAACCTTTGATAGTTCCATTGACGACCATATCAACTATAAGTTCGTCTGTCTGGCTTTCAAAGCCCTTCAGATCTGGTTCCTCCTATTTTCCTTTCTAATTTTGTGTTAATTTTCCTTGTCTGTAATATCATACCTGCTTTCCTCCTCCCACATATCCTCTAAGACAGTGGTTCTCAACCTTCCTAACGCCATGACCCTTTAATACAGTTCCTCATGTTGTGGTGACCCCCAATTTCAAATTGAACGTAATTAAAGCATAGTGATTAATCACAAAAACAATATGTAATTATATGTTTTCCGATGGTCTTAGGTGACCCCTGTGAAAGGGTCATTTGACCCCCAAAGAGGTCTCAACCCACGGGTTGAGAACCGCTGCTCTAAGATCAGCCCCAATCTTACCACCTTCATGAAACTATTCTTAACCGGGATCACCCAATCTCCCTAATCTCTCTCTCTCTCCTACCCACCATAGTCTGCATCATACAACACAATTCTGAACACACCCCAACCACTTGATTCTAGTAAAAAACACCTTGCAAGAAGCTTAATCTAACCTAAACTGATCAAACCTCTAGGAAATAGAGAACAGAAGAGCATGTTAAACAACACCATGGAAATAAAATACGCAAAATTCAGACTAAGAGAAACTACAGGGTAAACTACCTGATTTTTTTTTTTAATGTTTTCATTGATTTGAGAGAGAGAGGAAGGAAGATGCAGAGAAAGAAACATCGATCGGCTGCCTACTGCATACACTCTACTGGGGATCAAGCCTGAAACCCCGGCATGTGCCCTGACCAGGAATCCAACCGGTGACCTCTAGGTTCAAGGGACAACACTCAACAAAGTGAGCCACACCGGCCAGGGCTTGACAACATTGTTTGTTTGTTTTTATTTTTCGTTCATCCTCACCCGAGGATATTTTTCCATTGATTTTGTTTTTCTTTTTAGAGAGAGTGAAAGGAGGAAGGGATGGGGGGGTGGGGGGTGAGAGAGAGAAACATGGAGAGAGACACATCGATTGGTTGCCTCCTGCATGAGCCGGAGGGGTCGGACTGACCCTGCAATCCAGGTACATGACCTAGGCCAGGAATCGAACATGAGACCCTTAGGTCCAAGGGCCGATGCTCTAACCACTTAACATACTAGCCAGGGCATGACCTGATTTCTTCAACAAATAAGTTGCAGGAATGAGAGATGGGGAGATGGAGGGTGAATTTATAGACTGAGGTAGCCTTAAGAGACATGTCAACTGTTTGCCATTGGAACATTATATAGATCTTGATTAAATAAACTGAAAATTAAAAATAAATATTTAACATTTATGAGACAATTGGAAATCTGAACACTGTATTTTTTTATATTAAGGAATTACTGTTAGTTTCTTTATACTTTGGAGATGTAATGATATTGTGATTATGTTAAGTGTCCTTATCTTTTAGAGATGGATACTAAAAAATTCAGAAATGGAAAAATACACAAATAAATAAATAAAAACAATATATAGTTCCTGTCCCAAGTCTCATGCACAACCTGGACTGTACATTATGGCTAACAGCTTTAAGACCTACTTTAGAATCTAAGTCTGAAATTTGAAGAATTATAGTTAGATGCTAAGTATGACTGGAATAATTGATGCTATTAGGTGACATGGAAAATATGAACTTTGAAAAAGAAGACAAATCCTAAATAGATTAACAGCTCCAAATACTTTCCAGTTTTATATTATCCCAAGCCTGTTCCCATCCTTCTTTCAGTTACCAGACTCCCTGGAAATCTTATCTGACTCTTCCTTCTTCTTCATCTCAGTTAGCTGTCCACCTATGTGGATCTGTTCTCTGCAATCGCTCTCCCAACCATCCCCTTCTCTCCTCTACACACTTGTTCATACATTTGTTCTATATACTTGTCTTAAGTACCTCTGGTATAGGCACTAACTCCTGTCCTCTCCAATTCATCTTATAGCCAAGTTTTCCTAAAGCACAGCTCTTATTTTGGTACTCCTCCATTCAAACATCTGTGGTTTCCAAATGTAGAACAAAGCCCAAACTATATACTAATAGACTCAAGGCTATATTTCAAGGACCTCCATGATATATACTGTTTCAGCTTACCTTTACAATCATATTTCCCACTATTTTAATTCAATCAAATGAAACTTTTCTATTTAGTCTCTCCTCTAAGCTCCAAACTGTAACTGGTGCCTATCTGAAATCTCGTGGATATCTCAAACACAGTCAATTCTATTCTACCCAAACGGAACTAATTCTTAGTCCTGTAAATCTAGCCCAGGTGATCCCTATATTATGTAAGCCAGATATCTAGGAGTCATCCTTAGCACCTACCTCTTCCTCACCCCTAATTCACATCTACTGCTAAGTCCTGTAGATTTTACTTCCCAAATCTCTCCTAAATTTCTCTTCATCTGCTTCACTACCTACTTCCTAATTGACCTACCCATATTTCTAAGGTTCCCTCCAACCTGTGCTCCATACTGGTTAGAAATAACCTCTTAAAAAATGCAAACTAATCATATCATCAATCCCCACACGCCTAACCCCCTCTTGCTTACACTTCAGAATGACTTCCCTATAGTTTAGCCCCAGTCTACCTCTTCCATCTTATCTCAAACCTGTCTCACTTTTGCTCTCTCTACTCCAGCCACACTGACGTATTTGTGTACCTCATACTCAGCAGGTTCTCCCCCAGCAGGCTCTTCTCACTCCTTGGCTTACATATCCTTATCCTTCAAGTCTCAGTTTATCATTATTTCTTTAGAGAAGGCCTTCCCTGACCTCCCTACCTAGGTCAAATTCTCCATTACTCAAACTCAGAGCGCCAATGTCCTCTCAGCCCAACCATACCTGTTACTTGACATTTTTATTTGCATATGAAGAAGGCAGGAATAGGCACAATAAGCTAAGGGAGGAGGGGGGAATGCAACAAAACCGGAATTCTATGACAAATAGAATTAAAGAGACACACCATCAAGGTGGAACTAGGAAGAAGTTGGCAAGGAAGTAGCCAATAATAGTGGGACAAGGCAGTATTTTGATGGTTAAGCGATGCTGATGGATATCCTGAGAGGTAGCAGAATGCCCAGGACCACACTCACTTATGAGCCTGAAACACAGCAGAAAAAATTAGAGAACCCGGGTGAAAATAAAGGAAAAAATGATTATAAATCAGATTTTGGGAAAGGTTAGGTGCATGTGAGCGTGAAAACCGAAGTACGAAAGCAGGAAGATCTAATAAAGCCTGTTTGGAGGGCACAGAGATGGAGAGGAAAAAAAGACGAGAGTATTGACGGTACAACAATAGGGTGGTCTGTCTTTAAAGGGAAAGACTATGAAAAGTAGAATGAGTGATGGAAACGGTACCATCTGGTCCTTTAAAAAGTATCACGGAAGTGGAGTGGGTTAAGGAGCCGAACTTGAATCCGAAGAGATGTTTATGGAGGGGGAAGGTGAGGGAAGGCACTGACTGGTCCCCGGGAAGGCGGGAGGGATGGGGAAGCGAGGCGCCCGACTCAAGCTGCGCTGGGAGGCACTGAGCGCGGGCGGGGGGCGGCGGCGTGGCCCCGAGCTCCCTCACCTTGGCCTTGTAGCTGGGCAGGTTGCAGAGGATGTCCGTGCGCAGAGCCTCCTCGGCCAGGCTGCGGGCGCACAGGCTCCGCCACACCTCGCTGTTCTCGTCGCCGTGCAGGCAGCGGTACCAGTGCTTGCACACCAGCGCAGCTCC